CATAAACATCGACATTTTAAACGAAAGGGACGGCGCTGGCGTCGCTTATATCATTATTGGCAGGAACCCATATGACCGTATTCTGCATCATTACATTGAAGAAATAAACGTGGTGAGTGAGCTGAATCGTCAGGTTGGTAGGACGTTGCGCAAACCGCTGGAAACTGTGACAGTCGGTGGGAAGGCATTTGGTTGTGGTTTCCAAGTGGATTTCCAGGAATATGTAAACTTTCTATTGGAACATATCCTAAAATCTGGATTATATAATCCCGTTATTGGAGCTCCAATAGCTCGACATTGTGCACCCTGTAATGTCAAATATACTTATATGTTTAAACAGGAAACACTACCCAATGATATTTTTCAGATTTTAAATTCAACAAAAATTTCTCCTGTTTATAGAAAAATAATAAATCAAGTGTTATTACATGACAACGATGAACAGAAACTTTATCTGGACAATTACGTCACAGAGGTCATGGCCAGTCAGCGACACCATAAGCAGGACTGCCCTGAAATGCTAGCGTTGCTCTATAAAATATGGGAATCTCTGAAAGATCAAGGAGTTCTACACGTCGATTCCAAATTTCCGCATGAGTCTTTTGCCAAGGTGAAAAACAAACCTACAATAGTTGCAGATGCCATCAGTGTTATTCGTGCAGACATGAAGAAGAATCCGGTGAGGTTGGAACAGAGAAGTCGTCAAAGACAAGAAAAGTATAAACTGTATGATGGTCTCAATCAAATTTTAATGGACAAGATAAGGGTCGCATACAAAGTTGACTTTTTAATGTTTGGATATGATTCTTCGTCAACTCCTGGGGATATAAAACATAAAATACCATGAAGTTGAAGGTTCTAAGGTGGTTACACGGTGTTATAAATATCACCTTGTGACTTTAGGGGTTCGACATCATGATCAATTATGACCTCGTTTAATTTAATGAACGTTACAACACATATTACATCTCTAGCACACATGCAGGCATACCAACATAGGGAGATATTAGTCAGGTGACATAGGACTAGTAGTTAGCGCCTGATAAGGCAGCTCCTGCGAATTCCTCAATATTGTATTGATTTATGTATATACTAATTGTATGTGTATGAACTGTAAAGCGCTTTAGAGTGGCTTATGTTAGCTAGATAGGGCGCTATATCAAATGCTGTATATTATTATTATTATTATTATTATTATTATTACTATTATTAGTTACAAACTAACCGAAACATAATATATATAATATTCTCAATGTATTGCTGTTCATGTTTCTTGACAAACAATTGGAAACAATGTTTTTGCTGGTTTATGATTAGCAATTACAAGAAGCAAAACTAGCTGCGTTGCGATCTGTCAAAAGTATTAGTTGGAGACCACATAAATGAATACACGGATTTAATTATGAAAATAAATGCATATATAGAAAATAGGTAGACAGGCTTAGGTTTTCCTTTGTCAATAATTTACATTGTCATCAAATATATATAAAATCGCATTGAAATTGAATAGAATTGTCAGGAAAGAAGCGTTTTAATAACAATACCTTTTTAAGGACTTGAGTATCAGGTCAGGTATGGTTATAGAATTGTGGTAGCATATGTGTAAACTTTTCATGCCCAGCAATTGTATTGTTTAGCGTTGGTATCTCTACTGTTTACATGTTATGCATATCAAATTGGTCAGCAGGACAACAATCAATCATAGTTTCACTAGTGCAGTAAATGTCTTTCCATTTCCAACAAAAAAAAATTAAAGATCTCAATCAGTATTTGAAATTGAGATCAAAGGTCAAAAGTCAAATGTAAAGTGACTTCATCTCAGCCGATCCCAGCCATCTTACTCAAACAGCGTTAATAAGTTTCTTCAAGTTAGCGAAAATTAACTATCACAACTAAGAAAAGCCATGTACTTCAATGTTAATCATTGTTACACACACCTATTTGGAGCAAATATATATGTTATGTTTCTAGAGACAATGACGTATCTCATTTATTCTTCAAAATGCTGACCGATCCTGCCTCATTTACCATGAATACGGTCGGAATACACGCTTGCCTATGACGTATAACGATATGGGGGAGCTGTCTGGCTGGTAAGTTGGCTTGTGTCTGGATGACAGGCTGGTTTGCTGGCTGTCTAGCTGACTGACAGGTTTGCAGACTGGCTTTCTGGCTGGATATCAACTAGACCATTTTCATTTCAGAATATTTTATAGTACTTATCTTATGTACAAAAGCAATTGGGCAACAGGCATAGCCTATATAAGCCCTCTCCTTACAAAATATAACAGAATATACATATCATATAAATGTTACTTTTACAGATGTTTCTTTAAGTATTAAGATAAGAGATTATTTGTACTTTGAATTTGATTTGACAATACATATTTCAAATATCGCAATTGTTGTAAAAGAGATTATTTTACAAAGCTATTTAAGAATCTAATAAAAACGTCTGGTGTCTCTAATGTAATTCTGAACCGTCTCCACAATAGTTATATTCATATTTACGTCTCACGATTGGAAACCATAAATAAAAGTTTGGGTATTGAGTGGAATAGCGTCACTCATCGCTGACAGAGAGTTAAGTAATATAAGTCTTTGGTTAGTATAAAAAGGGCAATGCAGGAAAAAATGATCACGATCTTCGAAGGGTAAACCACATATACAAGCAGGGCTATCATTTAGATGTGCATTAACATGTGATTTATTTGGTTACGCATGTACTCGGTGAAATATGTTTCATCGCGTACATGTGTACCTAAATATAATATATATGTTATGTTTCTAGAGACAATAACGTTTCTCATTTAATCTTCAAAATGCTGATCGATCCTGCCTGATTTACCATGAATACGGTCGGACTACACGCCTGTCTTTGACGTATAACGATGTAAGGGAGTTGTCTGACTGGCACGTTGGCTTGCTGTCTGGCTGACTGGCAGGTTGGCTTCCTGTCTGGCTAACTGGCACGGTGGCTTGCTGTCTGGCTGACTGGCAGATTTGCAGGCTGGCTTTCTGGCTGGATATCAACTAGACCATTTACGGATCATTTCTTTATCGCTGTTTTACCTACCTTCACCACACTTGATATATTTATTTATATTGGGAAGCGGAGTGTCGCGTAATTACGTCGGGTCTCGTGTTTAGCTATAAAGAGTGTTATGGACCTTTTATTCATTATAATCACCAACACTGTCTCAGGCTTAACTCCTTGCTACGTTTGCCAACGTACTTATCTCAGAAAGAGAAACTGTCGCATACTGACATTGGATCTTGCACCATTCCGTATATATATATATAGACATAGTTATGTCCTTTGTTTATTATTGAAACATATCTTCGTTTTAATATTGAAATGGTATCGTCATTTATATAAGGTTTAACTCAAGATAAATGCATGATATACATCTTTTATGTAACATCAAGGCAAAGAGGTTTCATTGACCACCTTTAAAATCTCTATCTATCCTAATTTACATCTCCCTACCGTCCAGTCACCATCCTCTATCAGTTAAATAAAACAGTAACCTTATTAATGTATCATAGACTATTGTTATAAAAACGTATGCACATATACATTTTGTTTTATTATGACGAGTACAGTAAACGGTTGTAATAACTTGTTGTCCGAACCTTTTGATTCATATGATCAATAAGATATGTTTAAACTTCAACTAACGGCGTTTCAGCACTATTCGACAGTTCAGCATAATCTTCTTCCATTATCGTGCAAATCAAACGATCACCATCTATTTCATAATACCTGTACATAGCAAATTCCAATATTTTCGAAACGTTTATTTAAAGCATGTTACTATTTACTTACTGTTATTAGAGATGGGTTAAATGTGCATCAATGATGATCAGTATAAGGTCCTCTTGTGTTGTTGAGTATAACAGACAAGACATATTCTTGGGCTACAGAGGAGATAGTATTTAGGGAGCGGATCCCTCGAGGATGACTGTAACCATACCATTGTCTGCTGGCAGAATAACGATCGATCTTTCTTTCTGGAACGCCCCGAGAGCTTTTAATTCATTTGACGAGACGGCTTCTTTTACTGCACCTACTTATATCCTCGATACCCTAGGGGTGGGTTACGCTCACTTTCGCTCTCTGCACCCCTGGCATATGTCATAGCAAAATTGAAGGCTCTGTGTGAGCCACCTTGTGGTCGAGACAAGAAGACTAGTTTGATCCTTTGATGTATATCCAAAGAATCTGTCGGGCGCGTAACGGTTAAATTGACTGGCAATGAAGCTTCTCTGTAATCTCCAAAGATTGGTCAGATTGTTTTACATGAGACCAATCAAATAGCTATACGCGTGCGTTCAATTTTGTTATGACATATTCCAGGAGTGCAGAGAGCGAACGTGAAAGTAACTCCTAGATTATCGAGGATGACCTCTTAGGGTTGATCCGCTTTCAGAACACGCCGATATGTGGAGCCGTCAATTTCTGTTGACTGTAATTTAGGACCAATGTTTTATTTGGGTTTCTGTTAGATCCATATTATATACCTAGTGGTGCTGACTTTCCAATTTATTGTATTTATTTTTATGAACCCGGCAAGGTCCTCACGTTTAAACAAAACCTATTGTGTGGTAATATTGTCAACATTGTCCAGATACCAGTTTGCCTAAACCATTAATGTTCTGTCGTCATCAAATACACAATTTACGTTATGCAGACGCTACGTCTTGTTTTACAATTGACAGGATACAAAAGTCACTAGACTACATCAACGTATCGACCAATTACACAACGCCGTTCCTGTGTAGTGTAAAATTACTCTGTACACCACGGGGGTTTAGGCACAGGCGTTCATTACAAATGTCTGTTTATGTGTACTGTGACCCATATCAGTATAGCATATATGTATTTCAGACAGTTGTAACGAACCCCTGTGGTTTAGGTCCAAACATAGCTGTAACATACTCTACGCACAAAACACATCTGACGTTTATTTATAATTGATTTTTTTTTATTTCCTTTACAAGCATCAGAAATCAGGAAGGAGGATTTTCACTGTATCCAAACATTAAAAAGTCTAGTTTGTAAACGTCTTTAATGTCATTAAGAACATCGGGCGACACAGTTCTGTAAGCATTTACAAGCACGTTTCGTCTTTGTAAAACCCTCTGTTCTTCAGACACCGGATTTATGTCTAAATTCTGCATTATCACGGAGGTGACCATTTCCGGATCTTTTAAATCGGTTATATTCTTAAAAGCTCCCAATGGAAATGAGGATTGCTCGTGAACATGGCCTTGCATTTGTAACGATTTCCAAATCTTTTTAAGAAATGCGAATCGGTCAGGACAGTCAATGGAATACATACGGTATTCAGCCAGTAATGACGAAATAAGAGAAAATATCGTATTTGCATATAAACCGTCTGAGTGGAGGATTTTCTTGATACTATTTTTTCTGTCCGTTTCCATTTGAATTTTATCAAGTGTGAAGTCTGCGTCTCGGGTTAGTGTCTCCTGTTTTGAAACAACATGGTATTGAAACGAGCAAGGATCACATATGCGGTAAATTGGAGACCAGTGGTCGTCGAATTGGCCATGTTTCATACCTAACTCCACTAAACGGTTCAGAAATTCTACAAACGAAACTTGGTATCCACAGCGTTGATAGTCAATCATTGCAAAACCTGTTTTCAATTTCATGCCGAACATGCGATTGAGAGCTCCTAGCAGGAATATCTTATCGATATATGTGGAAAACAGACGGGTGTAGGGATTTCTTGCCACCATTGCTGTGAGTAGTGGTGGTGCTCCCTGTTTTTTCATTCTCATCGCAATCAAGCCCGCGCCATATTCGTATGTCCCATAGTGAAGTTCTATTCTGCTCAACTGAAAAATGGCGTCAACATCTAAGGGAGATTCGAGGGCTGTGAACACAGCGCCCCATAGTGTGGAGCCCGTCTTGGGTGCTTTACAACATGCAAATCGAAGTTTCTTCGAGTAAAAAAATGTCTTCGTGTGCGTCTTATATTTCGATATGTAATGTTTTCCAATCTTGGACTTGCACACGGCACGTATCCTTGACAACCGTTGTGGCATAGCCTTCTCTACAGCGACATCCGCTTCCGGTTGGTGCACCAGTATGTTGTCTCCACCATACATCTTATATACATTGTTGGAGTCGTATAACTTCCGGGAATCTCGGGCAATTTTTAGATCTGAAATTGTTTGAAACAAAACATGAGATGTACTTATGGTTCTCTGTATATCTTGTATATATAGATTGATACAATAATTAAAACGTAAATCGAATCGCTATCTTGCTTCGAATTGTATGTCAGCTATTGATATTGTTGAATAACTTTATTTTTATTTTTGCATGCCTTTCTGTATGATGGTGAAAGACGACATTTGTCGATATTAAACAATGACCTTAAGGGACTTAAGAACAATGCCCTGAGTGTAAAACCGCTGTTACATATAGGCGTAGTACGAAGTTGATAAAGTCATTATTTGTAACAGACGTTCCTAATCTGATTGGGTCAGCAACAACAACAACAAAATCCGTGGCCAAAATTAAAGTTATTGTATGTAGGAAAAACACAGTGCAGTGGAACAGGGATCAGTAAGACACAGAAATGAATTTGATTATAATTATATTGCATCAAGGGAAAATACTTGTTTCGTGTTCCGCAAACCTGTTTTTCACAAAATGCGTTAAAACCCTTGAAAAATGTCACACTTAAACACACAACGACTATGAGAAATAGGGAAAACAGAATTGGTTAAACAATGAAATTAGAGCTATAGGTATTAGGGCAAATAAAATGGCGTAGTAGTATGTATTACATCTATGATACAGAAAAGTAAAAGGGTGTGATATGACACTGACCGCCAATGAGGGAAAAAAATACAAATACTTAAACATTACGTTACAATATGATAATCTGTGTAAAACAACTGACGTCTTTGAATAATAATACACACTGAAAAATGACATCACAATATAAAAATCTGTCAAAGCAAAATGCTTCATGTGGCTAGTATTTCAACTACAATCGACATGGTATTCAGCTCAAACCAAAATACATTTTAAAATTACGTTCAGGAGAAGTACGAATTCCGCAGCTATAACCCTATATATCCTCAGTTCGGTAATAATATACCATGTATAAAAGTATATTCACATAATTTAAACAACAACATACTAAAATGTAATACCCCTTACTCTATGATTAAAGAGGCGGTTCTAGGTCGTATCCAAACAACAGGAAATCGAGTCTGTACACTCTCTTTATCCGTCCAATGGTGTACTCGTTGATCTGTCGGTAAGCGTATATCAAGGCATCATTTCTTTGGTAGTTTCGCTGAGGTAGACCGACGGGTTTATTTTCAATTTCTCTCATGATAATTGTAGTTATATCATTTTCATAACTCTTTGAATTTTTAAGGTCACGGAATTGTTGTATGGGGTATTCTGATTCATAATGAATAACTCCTTGGAATTGTAGGGCTGTCCAGACTTTCTGCATCAATGAGGATATTTGTGGGCATTCCACCTGGAACTTCTTCTTGTCTTTGAGTACTGTCTTAATCAGCTGTCGGAGTTCTAGTCGTGTATCGACGTTACGTATCAACAACTTGATATCCTCAGTATGACTGGCGTTTCGCTCTCTTTTAGCGAGGTCCAAAATGTATTCTGCGTCTGATGACATCGTTTCCTGTTTGATGACGTAATCCAGGTTTAGATTACACGGATCACATAATCTCGTCACTGGAGAATAGTGATCATCAAAATGTCCTTCGGCAGTAGCCGCATTTAATAGTTGTTCAAGAAAATCCTGAAAGGTCACTACAAATCCACACTTGCCATCACCCACATCCTCTAAACCTTTCTTCAACCGCCGACCAAACTTCTGGTTAAGGTCACTAAGAAGATAAATCTTGTCAATGTATGCCGAATACAGTCTTGAATAAGGATTTCTAGATACAACTCCTATTTTAGATCCGCGTTTTTTAGCTTCTTTTGAAAACATAAACCCAATTTCGTACTTCCTGTCATGCACCACGTATCGATCTAGTAGGAACGCCTTCCGGGCACTTATTTCTCCTTCCAATGCAATGAATACGCGTGCCCAGAACGTACTTCCGACTTTTGGGACTTTGCACACAACCAGTTTAGCCTCTGATGAATAAAAGAACGCCTTTGTAACAGGTCGAAATGCGGTCAGGAAAGATGTTACATGCGATGAACTGCATTTATCGAGTAACAGTTTTTTCCTCGCTCTAAATAGTTTTTCTTTGCTCCGTTGGGTGTCATCTGGTGATTTTGTCTTGAATCCTAACGGTTCCATCACTGTAGCATTACTAGGAGAGACAATAGACAATTCCATTGGTGTCTTTAGATCTGCCAATACAACAAATAGAAACTCTCTAATATTTCCCATAATCCTCTATTAGTTCCCATAATCCTCAACTTCTACTACCCGTACTCCTCATATACTAACGAATACCTGGTACTGCTTTGGTACTCAATACTCCGTCGATATTACTTAACAAACACACTCTTACACTACCAATACTCATTAAGTGTACACAACATCCACTTGTATTACCCGTATTAATGGTATTCTAATAACAATGATCCTCATTTAAAAAAACGGAAATGCTTCAACACTTGCACTTCCAATTTATTTTCTATTAATAAAGTAGAAGGTACAGGAAGCATGAACATATCTAACAGGTAATGTCTTTGAGTGCTTTCGTCGATTCAGGCTCTTTGTGAGTCTCCTGATGAAGAAAGTCTTTTAGGCAATGACTTTGTGTGTTTAGTGTGGTAAACGTAAAAGTTTTAAATCATTTTTCCATGACAGTGTCTTTATCAGGTGGTCACAAATGTATTTAAATATCCGTAGTATTAACCTACTCTCATTCCTAAATTATATCAACACACTTTTTATTTCTCCAGTGAAAATCTTAATAACCTTTAATTTTTAAATTCTTTTTTAAGACTATGAGGATAAAAATGGATTTAGTATGTCATTGAAGAAAGCCAACTATGTTAATTATTTACTGCGACATAAAGCCGCTTTGGTCCATTTGGGACTCCTTAGAAGATACGTTTCAGGAATATGGACAACTTTTCGTTAATTAAGTTCTGTTCAGGAAACATTCGTAATATATTGGTTATTAAAAACACGTTTAAAAATCTAATACTTTCTAGTGGTAGGTCGTCCCTGTACATAAAAAGTAAAAATGTGATGTTGACTTAGATTTCAGTTCGGTTTTTGTTATTAAATCACATGCAAGTGACTGTAAAATTGCCAGTTTTTGGATGTTATGTGAAGATGTTATCAGTCTGTTCTGAGACAGTGATCTTATTAAAACCATGTTTTCATCATTTGTATAAATGGTGCCTCTACCATTCACTGGTATACTTAAGCATCTACTTGCGACGTATTGTATAAATAAAATGTGGGATAAATGTCATTTCAACCATTATGAATAATGCATATGATATGAATGAAATTAATGCCCTTAAATTCGTGTACAGAACAAAAAAGGTTTATCTTGTTTAGGAACATTTAACACCATTAGGTGATTTATACAAAAATCACTCAAAACTAAATATATAAAGAAAAAGATACACAATCAATTAATATATAAATAAATAAAACGATACATAAAACCCCCCAAAAAAACATAAACATAAACAAATCATAAACAAGAAGAAGCTATATATCGCTTACTAAAATATAGCAAATCATCGCATAATAGATTCCACAGTTACAACAAAAATGGTTTAAAGCACGAACAATTGCTTAAACTCACCGTAAGCCGTTGTGATGTACCACATAAATAATACCGTTACACAGGAGAGAGACACCAGCAAACAAGAAATAGTAACTTTCGCCATTATAGTATAAACATCACAACGCTAGCACTGTCGTCTGACATTGGCACATCCGTCAATATTGAAACAAGAACCAGACATTGAAACGGCCACATAGTGGCCAAACCCATTATCTCAAGTTAAATCATAAATACAACAATGGTGTTCAATATATTAAACACCACATGTGGAATTTGAATCTGTACGGTGTTTTCATAATTATAAAAAATAATAAAAATACAAGAAGCAATTCAAAATCATCATTTTGAAATGTTACGCATAGACAGTTCAAAATATCGAAACTATTTAATTCGAACAACTAACTGAATTGTTTATTAAGCTTACATTCTAGACGCTAGACTGGTCATTAGCATAAGAAAACGCCGTTGTCAGATCTAAATTAGAACAGTTCGAGTTAGCTTTGATCGAAAACAAATTGACACTAAAACATTGTTAGGTTGATCGATTTTAAAAATAATTTAGTTAATATGACATCAATATTGATTGTTTAAAATGTTATTGAATGAAGAAAAAGTAGAAAATCCGGTTAATATCAAAGCGCTTTTTTTTTTTTTTTTTTTTTTTTTTTATCTTTATAGAATAATTTTGTTCCAAAAATTTCGTATATTCGCTTGTGAAATGATATATCTCTGTTAATAAAGCTGTACATTTTATACACACGTTTATTTAATGTAGTTTAAATATATCTTGTTCTAACAAAAATAAATTTGATACAAATCGAGGTACGACTATGGGTATAGAATATCGGTGTTGCATTTGACTGCATCGTTAAAAACGCAAAACAATGGTGGTCGATCGCTCCGTCTGGATATCAAATAACATGGCTCTACTGTCTGTTAGTATACCTTTAAACTGTAATTACCGCTATGTAGGGGACTAAAACATTTTTGTAAAGAAGTAGGCACCTAGTTATGTTGTGTACAGCTGTATGAGTTATATTTTCTATCGTTCTGCTTCAAATTGTAAAAAAAAAATCCATTTTCGGTATACTCACAACATTTTATTACATTCTGGTGTTTATTTGTTAGGGCATATTGTATTGTAAGAAAATAAATGGTTATTATCTTTGTCCGTTTCGACATTTTACACAATGTTTATGAATTTTATTTATTTGTAAAGATACGATCAACGGTGCAACGACCTTTGCAAAATGTTAGCACTAAAGTGCTGTAAGAATCACTAACGAACCGATGGTTTGTCTTATTTTATTAAAATGCTTCATGCAAAGTAAGTGTAAATTACTCTTATCCATAACTTTTTGAAGTGTAACAATTATTTCTTGTCCTATGCCAATTGTATAGTCATAACCGGCTGGTTGCACCAGTGCTTTCGTTCTTAGTAAGTCACATGACCGTCGCTATATATATCAACACCTCCTTGTTAAGTCTTGCTCGTGCACCCGATTATGACCATTTTTCGATGCATACATTAAAATCACCGTACATACTTCTGAGTATTTATTTAAAACTAGCTTTCAGTGACGTTATGCTGTTATGCCCCGAGCGACGCAATGCTACCTTTTCGGAGAGGACATACAGTGATACATTTGGATTGGCCATCATTTGTTTTCTTGGCACGTTAACGATTTTCGCCACCAGAAATATCCACTACGTTTTTCTATTCGAATCTTCGAGCTCATTGCGTGAAAATATGACATATCGCCTTATTCATCGGAAAGAAATGTTAGTAGCAGCCGTGCTCCTGTTTTCATTTACTTTTTATATTATATAATGTCTACAAATAGACCCGGGCAGGTTTTGTGAATACTAATAGCTCCAAATTAACAGTGCCTTTACGGGTTCCATACTGCAAAACGTTGACGAACAAGCCGGGTTATTGTTTCATATTGACTGATCACCGAGGACGCATGGCGAATCAGATGCTTAAAATTGCTTTTCTCTATTCTAGGGCAAAGAGGTTTAACTGTACGATGATATATAACGTCAGTCGATTGCAGTTTTTGGCTGAACCATTCTGGAATAATTCTATTGACTTGGTCCTCATACCGAGGACAGGGATTGATGTCGAGTGTTTCGTTACCATAGAAGATGAGAAAGATTGTGGCTTTGATCCAAAACTTGATGTTAGCTTTCCGGCAGATACTTTATACATAGGATATTTTCAATCCTGGGTACATTTCAAGGACTATGATAAAGAAATCCGACAAATATTTCGTTTTGTTTCGAGCGTTATGGAAAATGCTAGAAAATCCATGTTGAACATTATAGGCCAGCCCAATGCCTGCATTAATCTCGAGGTTCAGGAGAGGGGACATCTCGGAAAACCAATTCTCAAACCAAGTTGGATATAATGAAAAACCTCTGAAATTCATTACCAAAGCAATGTCATACAAATGTACTTCAAAGATAAACACAAGAATGTCAAATTCCTTGTGTCCTCGGATCATCAGGCATGGACAAGACAAGCTTTAGGGGGAGTAGATAATGTGCTATTCCTACCTAACGGCACCAAAGAAATAGACATGGCTACCCTGAAATTGGCGGCCAACCACAGCATCATAACAGTTGGCACTTCCGGATGGTGGATTGCAAAACTTACTAATGTGGAAACCGCTTAATACCAGTATCCGTAAAATAAAAGTTCTGACTTAGAGGAAGAGTTTGATGTGGACAAGCAATCATTTTCCCCTCCAAATTGGATTGGGATGGAGTAATATTCAATACTTCCTCAATAGTATAATAAAGTGGATGATGTTCATCTTCGCAAAGACATTTGAGGATATAGGTACTGTAGCAAGAACGTGAACAAATCTGATAAGAATAATAATAATAATAATAAAAAAAAAATAGAAAAAGGAAATCAGCTCTTTTTCCACAACAGGCAATGGATTTTTTTTTTTATAGAAATGAAAGCTTAACTTAAATTAACTTTGTTGATTGCATTATTTCTGCATTCGCTGTAAGTTTTGTAATCTACGAGAAGGTGGAAGTGAGCGCGATGATTTTTCGAAAATTTGGGGCCAAATGACCAATTTTAAATTGGAACATCCTCGCAAACAAAATGTCCTTCTCTCGATACCAATAACTTCTCCGCACCCTTGGATTATGTCATGACAAATACGAAGGCTTCTGATTGGCTATTTTATTTGTTTCTGACCAATAGCTAGGCTCCTACCCGTCCTTTGAAGACTACAGATGAGATACAACCTGTCAGTGTTACCGTTACGCCACCGCGGGATTCCTTTAATATTCAGCAAAGACATCAGACTAGCCTGCTTATATCATAGATGACGTAAAGAGCTTTAGATATCGTCATGACATATCCTAAGGGTGCAGAATAAGTATGTGTATCGAGATGGCGCTTTTGGTAGCAATATTTAAGTGTTTAATTTATTCTATATTTAGTTGGGGGTTTTCATCTGCTGTTTACAAACTCCTCAATAACCTAACCCCGTCCTTTTTAAGAAATAATTAAAACTAAACTGTTTCCGACTTTCTTGTTCATTTAATTTTTTTCTCCCTTATATTAATTATGGAACGATTTACCAAATGATGTCAGAGAACATGAAATCGTAAACAGTTTTAAATCTTTCATTCACTGTAACAAAGATTATTCGTTAACTTACTATTTTGGAGTTGGAAATCTTAAATTTCACATCTTGCTTACAAGGTTGTGTCTTCATGTAGAAGTTTAAACTAAGACTTGTACAGAGTTAATATTATAAGTGATCCGGCGTGTTCACGTGGAAATGAATGTGGAAATGCAGTGCATATCATACCTCATATTTATACCAGCGTGTCTTATTGGATGATACTGGTCACATGACGAGGCAATAATACAGCATGTCGCCCTCACGTGCTCAAGTTTCCCATAAAAATATTTCCCTTATTCGGAGCCTCTATAGATAAATTGGGAAGAACCACAACAACCAGGGCCCGTTTTCATGAAACCATCCTAAAACTCAAGCATGGGTTCTGTGCTCAAACCAGCTTTCTTGTAACTCACTTTAATCATACGTCAACGGTCATAAAGTCAAATGTAAACATTGAAATCAGTATTTGTCTTTAATTCTCTTCAATCATTTTTCCAAATCATTGACAAAACAAGATTGTTTTTATTAATTTATAACCAGAACAAGAAATGAGTATTGAGGACAGAATCCGGTTTCATGAATACGGGCACTGTTGTTCCGAATGGTGGACGCAGATGACAACAATGGCGCGTCAACCTGATAATCTCTACTATTGTGTTATTGTTTTCGATTGATTGATTTTTTCAGAATTATACAATATGTATTGCACTTACTGTAGGGAAACATGATTCTTTGTTTCCCCGAGGTTAACATTTTTATTGTATTATGTATGTACTAAATAACGACAAGTGTTGACTGACGATGTCTCTCGTTATTGAATATGTCCCTCAATATTCTTCGCGTTCCTTCTCTAAACCTGCTACATTAAAATTCGTGAAAGATTTTAGGGCCTATAATATATATATACAACTTAGTAATTGTTATCGTCCTATTTCTCCTTCTTTTTCTTCTCGAATTATCTGTGTTCCCTCCTTCCTTTCCTTTCTCTCTCCGTATTTTTGATAGATATTTTCGTTATATTGTTGACATGTACAATTATAATTTGTATAATGAAGTGTTTCTGCGATGGCGTTTCTAAGTGAGATAACTTTTGCCTGACTCCTTATGTTGTAAGACAAAAAAAAATCGTTTTTATCAAATCACATTCTTACAGATTCTGAAATGTTTTACCCCCGCATAATCATCTGAAAAATCATCTTTTCTCAGACAATTATGCGAAAGACACACATCACCTCGCTCGAATCAATGTCAACTAATTAGGCGAACACAAGTATTAAAGAAGACCTGCGCATGTGCTGTAATATAGACGACCGCTCGCGAGAACCAAAAGGGAAGTGACGTGATATATGTGGTAAAGAACATAAGCATGCAAAAAAAAATTGCATGTTGTATGCTCATGTCTGTTTCTGTTAACATCACGTGTGGAAGATGAGGACACATTCCACACGGAAACACTCACACATATCTAGATTACAAAGCAACGTGTTTTAGGGATGCGATAAAGTGGTATGTTTTTATAGTTTTTGGGATTACGATCGCCCTCTAGCT